CAGTGGTATAGCTATACTGTGGCACAACCAGATTATAATTATTGGTGACTGCATAAACAAGGATTTACTGTATATCTATTACAATAAGCTATGTCAATGACTGATCATGCCAAAACAATAGAGGAGCCAACTATTTGAATAATTTCTTTTTTGTAAATAAAATCTAAAATTCTCAGATGTAACTGTTGAGTATTATGTACTTAATTATATAAAACATTACTACAGATATATACAATTCCACACCTCTTTACACAGCATTTCACAGGCAGTTTTAAATATACAGTAAATCTGGAAGATAAACTTTAGGATTAGATACACACACAAAGTACATCATGCAAAATGTATGTACCAGTATTAACATTTTGGATACAAAACCTCAAAGCATGAAATGGAGAATTTCAGCTACAGTCAAAACCACATTAAATGGAAGCTTATGAGGACATGAGTAGGGTTCTATAAGATCAATGAGATTCCTCGTATATAACATTCACTCAGATGAAACTGGACAATCCCTAGAGCACATTTGCTGATAGTTAACGTTCGGGACTATAGAGAATATACCAATTATGCATTGCGATTTTTTGTAACTGAATTTATGGGTCGATTTAGACAAATAATTTGGATTTTACAAGATTTTAGATTTAGACAAAAACTTGGAGCTGGACAGAGTTTCGTTTTGACAAGTGTACACATTGTGCAATGTAAATAGACAGGAAAAGGATCTAGAAATATTTTGAATAGAAATGAACTTTCAATAATTATCAGAATTCTCGAAAACAAATTTTTACTGATTTTCATCCACATATAGACAACTAACCTGACAAAGATAAAGACAGTTGGGAATATACATAAGGGCAGTGGATTCCTGGGTCAGATATTTAAGGTTATCATACAGAGGTTAACTAATTCACCCCTGAAATTTCATAATGAACTATTCCAACCTTTGAATTGGAAGAATTCAAATGTGTCTTCAGGGGTGAATGAGGTTTATTCCATATATGTGTGTACTATAGCTTATTGATGACCTCTGTAGAAATTATGAACGACTGCCCACAGAAGTTATATACAATTTCTTACTCACTTATTTTAAAACTCAATCACACAACTTCAATCTTAAAATTTTCCTTTTTGAATTTTCAATTATTTGCAAACACTGCACAAAAGAAGCACATTTTTGGACTTGTTTTAATTAATGTTGACAGAATAACAAGTCAGTGCACTACAATTCTAATTAAAGGTGTTTTTTCTAAAAGAATAAATTAACCTGATTCATGAAGGATTATTTCAATTTGAATGATAGGTATTCGTTGCATTAATGTTATCTAGATTCAAGGTGGAGTTTTTTTAATCAGAAAAAATTAGAGGAGAATGGAGATAAATGACCTCCAGAAAATCCATGACACAGATGTTCTGACAAAAAGCTCAAGTGGAAATGTACACATAGGTAATTGACATTGCCAATAGCACATTTCAAAATTCAATAAGAAAATCTTGTTATGAGGAAATCAGATTGCAGGCATACGATATGTATTACAGACTAATTAAAGGTGCAATTATACAGGTTTCATAGATAAAATATTGGACCCAATAGTATATTGTTTTTAGTCAAAACATATACAGGTACATTGTATGGCGTAAACATCAATGAGGTCAGCTTGCTGCTACGTATACAGGTTCATGCAAGTATAAATTATCAGTGAAACCTGTCTACAATGAACCCAAAGGAATCAAACAGTCATGTTACGAATTCAATGAACAGTTCTGGATTACACAGATCCAGTAAGGATTTAAAAGTACACAATGGACCTGCAATTTTAGTATTTGAACAAGAGACCCAATGGGCCTGCATCGCTCACCTGGTATTAATCTCACACATGTAATCTTAAACGTGGACTAAAATATCGCTACAGGCAGAATAGCAGTGTTTGATTCATAAGAACCTATTAAAAGATTTAAACATATGACGCCTGTGACCTTGAATGTCGAATAAGGACATTAGGTTGAACAGAGTTTATAGTCTTCCAACCCAGCATGCTTCTGGCCAAATATCATCACCCTAGGCCTATTGGTTATTCAGAAGAAGTAGTTCAAAGGTTAAAAACATACTTGACCACTGTGACCTTGAATATAAGTCAAGGTCATTTATTTGAACAAACTTGGTAGTTCTTCATTCCAGCATGTTACTGGCATTATACTAGGCATCTTGGTTATTCAGAAGAAGTTGTTCAAAGGTTAAAAACATACTTGACCCCTGTGACCTTGAAAAAAGATGAAGGTCACTCATTTGAACAAACTTTGTAGCTCTTCATTCCAGCATGCTACTAGCCAAATATCATCACCCTAGGCCTATTGGTTATTCAGAAGAAGTTGTTTAAATGTTTTAAACATATTTGCCCTCTGTGACCTTGAATATAAGTCAAGGTCATTTATTTGAACAAACTTGGTAGCCTTTCATCCCAGCATGTTACTGGCCAAATCTCACCATCCTATGCCTCTTGGTTATTCAGAAGAAGTTGTATAAAGATTTTAACATATTTGACCCATGTATGTGACCTTGAAAATGGATGAAGGTCATTTATTTGAACAACCTTGGTAGCCCTTCATCCAGGCATGTTTCTTGCCAAATATCATCACCCTAGGCCTCTCAGTTATTCAGAAGAATTTGTTTAAATGTTTTTAACATATTTGACCCCTGTGACCTTGAATGTAAATCAAGGTAATTTATTTGAACAAACTTGGTAGCCCTTCATCCAAGCATGCTTCTGGCCAAATATCATCACCCTAGGCCTCTCAGTTATTCAGAAGAATTTGTTGAAATGTTTTTAACATATTTGACCCCTGTGCCCTTGAATGTAAATCAAGGTAATTTATTTGAACAAACTTGGTAGCCCTTTATCCCAGCATGTCACTGGCCAAATATCATCCCTCTAGGTCTCTTGTTTATTCAGAAGAAGTTGTTTAAAGGTTTTTAACATATTTGACCTCTGTGACGTTGAATATAAGGCAAGGTCATTCATTTGGACACACTTGGTACCCCTTCATCCCAGCATGGTACTGACCAATTTTACATATTTGACCCCTGTGACCTTAAAAATTGATGAAGGTCATTTATTTGAACAACCTTGGTAGCCCTTCATCCAGGCATGTTTCTTGCCAAATATCATCACTCTAGGTCTCTCGTTTATTCAGAAGAAGTTGTTTAAAGGTTTTTAACATATTGGACCTCTGTGACCTTGAATATAAGGCAAGGGCATTCATTTGGACAAACTTGGTACCCCTTAATCCCAGCATGGTACTGGCCAATTTTACATATTGGACCCCTGTGACCTTAAAAATTGATGAAGGTCATTTATTTGAACAACCTTGGTAGCCCTTCATCAAGGCATGTTTCTCGCCAAATATCATCACTCTAGGTCTCTTGTTTATTCAGAAGAAGTTGTTTAAAGGTTTTTAACATATTTGACCTCTGTGACCTTGAATATAAGGCAAGGGCATTCATTTGGACAAACTTGGTACCCCTTCATCCCAGCATGGTACTGGCCAATTTTACATATTTGACCCCTGTGACCTTAAAAATTGATGAAGGTCATTTATTTGAACAAACTTGGTAGCCCTTCATCCAAGCATGCTTCTGGCCAAATATCATCACCCTAGGCCTTTTGGTTACTGAAAAGAAGTTGTTTAAAGTAAAAAGTTGACGCCGGACGGACGACGGAAGCAGCACAATGCCATAAGCTCACCTAAAAAAAACAGATAATACAGGGTTCACTTTCCACAGGTTGCACAATTCAGTAACATACTAGGTTAAATTAACACAGAAACACACACAATGCATATTGTGCAGGGGTCGCTTTAGATAGGCTTGTAAACTACACTATAGGTTCAATTTATAACTACACATAGAAAAGTATACAGAAGGACAAATTTCAGGTTCAAGATACAGTTTTCCAGACTGTACAGTGGTCGGATTATAGAGGTTTAACAGTGTCAACACAGTTAAAAGATTGGCCAAATCATAATTTGGCTCCAGTTTCACAAAATTCTTCAATCCTACTAAATTTGTCCATATTTTTTTTTATATGAGTTGTGGAAAAATCTGAAGTTCTATGAAGACTGTTCTATAAAGACTTTTCTCCACTTCAGTAATATTTTCCAATAGAACATCTAAAATTTGCGATTTCTTTATGCTGAGGAATGTTTGTAGAACTGGTACACATAATCAAGGACACATTTGTTAAAAATCTTGTTTTTAAATACATATTAACAAAATTCATAACAGCATTCTTTCCTGTTGTTCAGATTCAAGACAAACACATTTGAAAACTAGAAAATATCTGTAAGACCATGGAAAACAGAGTCATGCTTGGAAAAAAATCTATAAATTGGAATAGTAATGGTGACCTTGACCTTTGGGTCCTGAAATACGAACTAATTCAAAGTATTCGCATACTTGACATTTGTGTAAAGTTTAAACAAAATCTGTTAGCAAACAAACTTAATGGAATGATGTGTCACTGAATTAGTCGGTAAATGTCTATCAACAGTAACAGTGACCTTGACCTTGACATTGACATTGACCTTGGAATTCTGAAACATTAATTCATTTCAGGTGTTCTCTTACCATTTACTTGACTTTTGTATGAAGTATGATCAAAATCTGTTAGGAAATGAAGTCACTTCCACATTCTTGAAATATCAATGGAAGTTAACAGGAAAACATAAGAAATCCTTAATGTCTGGTATTAGATATTGATAGGCCTACGCAGGGGCCATGGGTCATTCTAGATCTGCACATTCAATTTCTGAAACATCCCATTAAAATTTGAAAAATTTAAATAAAGGCATAGCTATAGCACAATGGTAGGAAAAGGTGGAAAAAGGCCCATTGTATGATGCAGACTTCCTGATGGGTGCGAGGTTATATTATTCAACTTGGTTATGCAATTTGTGAATAAGTATTAGTTATTACAAGGTCACCTGATGATCCCACATATACTTACCAGCCTGCAGATGCCTCGCAGTGAGAATCGAGGAAAATTAATACATCGCCTTTGGCCGCTACGGCTCCGGCCAGCCTTGCTCTGATGAGACCACTCCTCTCCATGGTTCGGACGATTCGAACCACGCCATCTGGCCATGTCTCGTCTACGTACTTGTTTAACTTTTCTCCAAGCTCCGCTGTAAAATATGAAATGCTGATAAAGAAGCGGTGTTAAATTTACAATAACAGCGACAACCTACTAACCTGAGATTGGATTTCAGCACGAACAAGTGAATTCCCTAATCTAACCAGTCCTTCAAACATGAAATAGTGTTAAAACAATATCATTTTACTGAAAGTTTTTTAAAGGAATATTCCTTTCCAAACACTGCTATTAATACAAAAATATAGCATGTTAACATATTTTAAAATTTCTTAGAAATTCACCACGTTTATTTTGAAACAAGAGGGATAAATGTTGACCTACAAGTCAATTTAATTAATCACAATAAACCTTTTCTATTTTATGCTGAGGATGTTACCTTCAAAAAAGCTCTTCCTAAGCACATATCATTTATATTGATGTAGGGCTATCATATAGCTATTCCACTAGATATCTTAAAGACTACCAATAGTAAGCATAGTTATGTATACATTATTAGTGCCTAAATGTACATGTAGGTCTACAATGTATATATATTGGTATACTTCTAGCTTAAAATCTTTCAATCTTGGAGGGAAACTTCGGATTTTGAACCCTTATATTTAATAATTACAACCAGTGAATTCGCCAAACTATTTCTACATTTTAAGATCTAATGATTTTATCTAAAAGATCAATGCAAACCGTAATTTTAAAGGGTTGTTTGGTCCCTCAGTGGTATATATATATACACACATTCTTTCATGTTTTTAATTTTGAGCAGGAGTAATCTCCCCCTTGGAAACTTCAAAAAGTTGATAAACGTGAGTCAGTAGCACTAATGTACTTATATAGCTGAGAAGTATTGGTATATACTTACGCCGGTCACTAAAGTCATCCAATAGGATGACCTCATGAAGGTACTCTGGGGGTGACCGATTGACCACACTGTGCGCTGTCCGAAGAAGAGGTGACCATGCCTCATTATGGAATATAATGACCACACTTGCGGATGGTAATTTTTTAGGATACTGTATATCTTTACATCTACAAAACAAAATTTATATCTTACATCAGTTCCGGAGGTTACAACCATATCTGTATGTCTACAAATTGCAACAATATTCCATTCCATTAATAACATGTATATATACTGTAGGTACGCAGGGCAGAGCGCTTATGAACGGCATCTGACAATCTTCAATCACTAGCCCTTGAGCACTTGATTGCAGGTTCGAGGCCTACGTGAGACAGTCACTAGGTATTGGCTGCTCCCTTGTCGGTGGTTTTTCTCCAGGTGCTCCGGTGTTCCTTCAGCACCAAAACCTGGCACATACTTAAATGACCCTAGCTGTTAATAGGAAGCTTAAGCACACACAAACCAAACCAGACAGAACACTGTTGTTATTCTTCTTTATTTCATTTTCATTTCTATTAAGTTCTGGAAGAGATGGGTTTCCTATCAGAAATTATTGTCATACCAATAAAAAAGTTCTCAATTACATAGTTACAGTTTATAACAATGGTACGAGGATCCTTAAAATAAGCTGAGGCTAAATTCATGGGCTATGAATGTGTGTGTAAGCTTTTTATTGTACCAAACGTGCAAACGGTCCACGTGTCACATGACAGGGCTCACGTCATCAAATTGATCTTCTTTTTAACCTCAAAAATTCTACGGACAATGGACGACAGCTGGCATGAATATATAGATGCATGTGGGTTTGAAATGAATATGAAAGTTATCAAGATCAATTGTATGTACACGTACCTAAAGTATAGTTAATACAAATACAAGTACTTTTTAAGAGCTTGACCTTGTAGAAAACACTGAATAGTTTCATTGTTTATCATGTTGAATAATATAGCTCCTGTGAAAATTTAATATGAAGAGAAATTATATTATTGATACGGAAGTGATCCATATATATGGGCTTTTAGTTCACTCTTTAAAGCCTGCTGGGATCCTATTGATAAAACTGCAGGGTGTTGCTGTTTCTCGCCAATCCGTCTAGATCTAGATCTTAATTACATTGCGTATATTAAACCACCTACGGATCCCTGCATCACCGCTAAAAAATATAAGTATCTATTATATTATGCATTGGAAGCAGTTTTTTCTGGTACAACTTTTGATAAATTCTTTTCCGAAAAGAAAACCTAATCTTTGCTAGTGCGTTGAGTGTAAAAAATTCAGCAGGGCCTGAGCAGGTTTCGAACCCTGGACCACAGAGTATTAAACTGCCGCTCTAACAAACTGGGGGGCACGATGGCCAGATGGTTAAGGCATCTAACATTCTGCTACCACTAGCCCTCCACCACTGTGGGTCGCTAGTTTAAGACCTATGTGGGGCAGTCGCCAGGTACTGGGCGTGGGTCGTTGGTTTTTCTCTGTGAAATTGGACTTTTCTCCACCACCAAAACCTGGCACATCCTTATTAGATAATTAAATGATCAAAGCTGTTAAAAGGACATAAAACACAAACAAACCAAAGCCTAACAAACTGATCCAATACAACTCAACCCAAGTGTACTATATATATACTGGACCACTTAAGCTTGTGCTAGAGACTAGTTACATCCAAAATGGAAATTAAGAGGAAATTACTTTTTACAGGGTTTTACATCCCATTTTGACCTTGAGTGTCCTTGAGAACCCCTTGATTGAAAATTGGGGGCCCTAAATGAATATTTGGGGCCCCCATAAATGATAATTTTCAGTATTGATTGCTTTAAGTCATATACAACCTTATAATTTGGAGACTGGAATTTTTAAAGTTTTCATTTCTGGAGGTTACGTGGACACAGGTGTTTTAGTGGGTCAGACTGTAATGGAAAATGGGGTATTTTTTTTTTGTAACTTAGAAGAACATGGGGGTATTTGGTCTGAAGCAGAATTCTGCTTCATGTAAAATCCTGTTTATATACAGTATACGAAAAAACAGTTTATGTAGAATATTGTAAATGATCATATATATATATATATATAAGTTGTAATCTTACATCAGTGTTTTTCATACACTTTAAATATAGCTGTTAAATTATGATTCTTTTAATTTGATAAAGTCTCTTAATGTGTAATACAAATACATGTATACTGCATGAGAAAATGTTCCACTTCTTTTAAAATGATGTGAAATTTAAACATTCAACAACTTCAGATGGTTAAACATATAGTCGTATCTGTAATCAGATACACCACCTACAGACAGCTTAAGTCTGTTAGAATAGATTAAAAAAACGCTATAGCTACCAGTAGTCTGAAACACAGATGGTCCTCTTGAATGATAAAAATCTATCTTGACGTATTCCTGTCACCCCATTGTTCATGTTCGGTCAAAATCATTGAAGCAAACCCCGTTTTTCATGGATTTAGATAAAATCATGTGAAAGCTCCAAGCTTATTTATGATAATAACTAATTTATTGGACCTGAAGGTTTGAAAGCCGTAATATTAAGTGACTTCATGCTAAAGGGAATTTAATATAAACTATCATTTGAAATTTAAAATATCAATACATTTTACCTTAAACTTGTATTGGCTATATTTCCCATCCTTTAAAGGGTTAAATGTCTTCTTGTTTGGCATTTTGTTAAAGCTAACGAACTCAGTAAAATATTGTTACATCTTTAAATCAGTTACCGGCCAGTATTTAAATATTTTCATATCAATTATACATGTATTATATATCCTTTTGATGGAGAAACATCACAGATTTAGCTCAACAGCAAAACTATAGGGAGATCTTGATCAATAGAATATACAAATGTAGATCTAGAGATACATATATCTACATTTAAATGATAGGTTTTTGGGCAACATATGTTTCGTAGGGTCAGAAACGTCAAAATGTTGCCTTAAGTTATTATGATTAGCATATAATATGTTTACTGTCTGAAAACCAAGCCAACAGCTGTCCTGTTTGATTAAACCTTGCTAAAATTATAATTATTAGTTACACAATATAACATTTTGTTACGTACCACAACTGTAATATCAAAAATATGCTGGTCATGCGTTCTTTGCAAAACTCTACAGATCGCATGGGTATAAGAATTCCACTAGCCTGACACTTCTATATAGAGGAATTGGCATATAGGTGTCAACCTCTGAAACCTCCAATGAGGGAGATCTCCCTCGTTCCACATTTCAAATGAGGGAGAAAGTGTGTGAAACGCGACTGAAACTGCTTTGCTCAATTTATCTCTCACCTTTTATGTATCAAAATAACTCATTCATTTGATTCACACCTGTACTGATCATTACCCACGCCCTGTAGTAACTAGGAGATCATTTGACCAGGATGTAGATTTCGAGTTTGTGAGTTTGGACTAGAATGATGAGGGAGTTTCGATGGCGATTGGTAAATTTTGGTCAAAATGAGGGAGTTTCGATGGCGATTGGTAAATTTTGGTCAAAATGAGGGAGGGTTGACACCTGCAGGGGCAAGTAAATAATTTCATGTAGACAAGACAAAGTGAAAATTTTCAATATTTGCTATGAAAAGATGTGCTGGTTTGAATTTTTTTTTTAATCTGCGTCTCTCGATAGAACATTGTTATTCTACACCCCTGAATTTTAACATAATTGCTATATTCTTGGACAAAGTTGCAGAAGCAAGTTGATGATATAACAAAAGGCCTCACACAATTTATTTTGAAGCAACAGCTCAAAAAGCAGAAAGTGTGTCAAAGTTGATGTCGTTTTTGTCTAAAATGATCCAGCAACAGTCCTCAGAATAGATAGACCTAGGCCTGTTCACTTTAACCCGTTCACCACTGTGGACCATAATGGACTCATCCAGATCAATGGGTGGTAGAGTTTATTCAAGTTCCACAGGGGTGAAAGGGTTAAGACTATAAGAGCAAGATGTGTAGCTAAGTTGTAATGTCGGTTAATAGCTACCCCAAAAATGTACAAATCAATGCAGAATTTTGTAGGATGCTTTCAGAAGAGTCTGGACATTGCTTTCAAAATGTTGATGATTCCCATTACTAACAGTGTATCGAATATTGGGTTCTCATCAACACATGGGCGGGTTCGAGTAGCACAATATCCGCACAAGACCGGGATTCAAATATCTGTGCCTCGAAATTCATTGTTAATCTGATTGGCATGATATATCACAACACGAAATATGTAAAATACTATGGTGACAGCATTGACATTCAAATGAATGTGCATTTCAGTTATGCTAATTATATAACTAGCACTACCTCATATTAATTACCATGTCTTAAATGAAATCATTTATATATGTTGGTGTGAAACAGTATACTATAAAACTACGGTGTAGTTGTTTAATGGTATTTTTCATTCAGTTTGGTATACAGTACAGCAACTGTTGAAGACAATACAACACAGAGGTACAGTTTTATCAATTCTACCAAGTGTTGTATGAATGTGAGTTTCTGATTGGTCCAAATTTTCAATCTGAATGTGAGTTTCTGATTGGTCCAAATTTTCAAACTGAACCAATTGAGTGCAGCTTTATATTTATATTTGTTTGGTGATGGAAAAACAGCTTTTGAGGGATGCTCCTTGTATCATTTGTCAGTTTGGAAACACTTGGCTTTATTTCAAAACAAAGGATTCAATCAACAACAGCAAATGCAAAAATAAATGTTTAAATTGTTTGAGAAGTATCAAGTATCACAACAAAACTAATCAAAGTACTGAAAGTACTGAAAGCTAAGGCAAAAGTTATACTAAGATACATATATTATTTTTGGAAAGGGGAACAAAATAAAGACGAAGTTCCCATCATATTGTACAGAAGGATTTACTGTTAATTTTGTTATAAATCAAAGTTTTATGTAAAAGTGTACCACTGTGAAGTTATTCTTCTTATGTGTACGGTATATCTTTATAGGTTTGTCAGAAGAGGGGTACCAAGTGTTCTCTAGAATATATTATTTTAGACCTTTTAGATAATTCATTTGCATAGGAGTTGCTTCTCTCTGTCCATATTTCAAACGTTAAAAACTGAAATTGGCAATTTTAAACCATTAAATAGATTATGCACAGATTGTGTTCATCTTTGAAC